TCTATCCCCGACAAATAAAATATCCAGACTAGCTCAGGAATATGTTGCTTCTATAAGTATTTAGCATATAGTTATTGAAATGTACATAAACATTTTATCTAAAGACATAAAGGATGGATGAACACAATTAATTTCTACTGTGAAATTTTGAGAAAAAATCACCTATTCTATTCCAATCAAAAATAATATTAGCTGGTGAGTTCAATTATATTTTACCATAAAAATGTATCTGCATATGAACTCTTTATTTTTTCACTATTATAACTATGCTTGATGAGGTCTTCAATTGTTCACTTCAGGACAGTGTTTCGATGTCCTTCATAATTCTCCTCACTTAGATTTATACATGGAAAGAGATATAAGTCTTGTTGACTCCAGGTGAGGAGTCTCCAAGGACATGCCAGAGCACATTCATCCTAGACAAATTTCTCCCACTTCCATCTCCATGCTAGTAGCAGAAAACAAAGTGGAAATTACCCTGAGTCAGTGTGAGAAAAACATGAAAATAATCCAGTGGAAACAAAGATTTTTAAGTGTCTGAAATAACTAGAAAGCATGAAGTAATTTTAAAAATATGTTTAGTGCTCAGAAAAAGTCTAACAAAACAAAGATGGAAAATTCACCTACATTGTGCATTTAACAGAAGTTGACAATTACTGAGTTAAATCTATGTCTTCTGCAAATAAAAATTTATAATCTATGGAAGACTGTGACTGAGGTGTACAGATACCACCTGCTAATTCTGTAACATGGTAGTGATGCAATACAGCACCACTCCCGGCTAAGGTCCTGCTCAATGCCTACTGTTCCTATGATTGTGATACAAGGAAACAAACTATTTTCACTGGCACTACTGCAAAGCTTATAATGCTGATATCAATTATTAAAAATACATTAAATCAAAACATCACAATACATTATGAAAATTTAATAACATTTTACAGCTCACTAGAAGAAATAGAAACAGTAAGAGATTAACAATAGTTATAGGCAATTGGTGAAGACATTTTGTAAACTCATCTTCTTAATTTCTGGAACCCAAGAACACTAGGAAGTAAAGGAATCATCACTCCCTCACCTTGTCATAGAACAATATATGTTTCTCTTTATTTTTTATTTTTAAAACAACCTTATTTTATGTAGCCATCTCAGTTTACTCTCCCTCCCATCCTCATGCTCTCCCCAACTTCTCCCCACCCAAACCCCCATCCACTCCTCAGAGGTGAGGCCTCCCATGGGGAATCAACTAAGTTCACTACATCACTTGAGGCAGGACAAAGGCCCTCCCCCCTGTATGGAGGCTGAGCAAGGTATCCTTCCACAGAATATGAGCTCCAAAAAGCCAGTTCAAGCACTAGGGATAAATATTGATTCCACTGCCAGTGTACCCACAAACTGCCAGAGCCACCTAACTGTCACCCACATTCAGAGGGTCTAGTTTGGTCCTATACAGGTTTCCCAGCTGTCAGTGTGGAGTCAGTGAGCTCCTGCTTGCTCAGGTCAGCTGTTTCTGTGGGTTTCCCCATCATGGTCTTGACCCCCTTTGCTCATATCCCTCTTCCCTCTCTAGGGACTCCAGGCGTTCAGCCCAGTGCTTAGCTGTAGCTCCCCGTACCTGCTTCAGCCAGGTTCTATGAGGACAATTAAGTTAATCAATCTGATGACAGAGGAAGGGTCGTTAAGGTGTCCTCTCCACTATTTGTTTGATTCTTACTGGGGTCATCCTCGTGGATTCCTGGGAATTTTCCTAGTGCCAGGGTTCTGGCTAACCCCATAATGGCTCGCTCTATCAAGGTATCTCTTTCCTTGCTCTCCCCCTCTGTTCTTCCCCCAAACTCCACCTTTCCAGATCCCTCATGTTCTCCTCTCCCACCTTCTTCTTTGCTCCTCCTCCATCCCCCCAAGTTCTTAATTTATCCAGGAGATCTTGACTATTTCCCCTCAATATATGTTTCTTAATGGTAGTACAATAGAACTCACTAACTAGCAACTCTTTGGGAAACACGTTATGAGATGTAATTAGTTCTTATTCTACATGTAGTTGTACAATTTCTTATTGTAGTGTAAATAACCCCCAATAGCCACTTCATTTATATTCTACTTCCATAATAGAGCTTTAGATTTGACTTGATGCACTACACAACAACTTACAATATCTCTTACCAAAGCATGACTACACCCTACTTTCAAATGCAAGAGTGTTAATACATGTTTTAATCACTTATTCAAAGCATAACTGTTTTACTTAAGAAATTTACATTCAGAGACTGGAGTGATGGTTCAGAGGTTAAAAGCACTGGCTGCTCTTCCATAGGACCCAGGTTCACTTACAAGCACCAACAGGTTATCTACAAAGAATCCAGTTCTAGGAGATCTAACACCTGCTACTAGATTCCACACGCACACAATGAACAAACACACAAGCAGGCAAAGTATCTATAAAATACAACAGAATACGTTTAAAAATTATAAATCCAAATAGCATGGTTTATTTGACTAATAAAATAGAATTTTTTGATAGTTCAAACTATTATTTACCTTAAATTGTTATTTTCATTTAAAATATAAAACTTCATATTTCAATATTCTCTTTAAATAACTAATTTTTCTCCAAAATTCAGTCATCACTTTACAGCAAATTAGCATATTTTTGTAGTTACAGATATTAATAAACATATATAAAGTGTACTTAAAAGTTTCCCACCTCGTGTAGAACACCACTCTAATGTAGGTACATTGATACAGACTCAGAAGAAAAAAAATTGGCCAACCTGATTGTTTCATTATAAAGAGAAATTTTATTGAGTAATTATTTTAATGATAAAGCTTATTTTAAATATGTTTGGACAAACCACACATGCAAGACAGAATACCAAGTAAGATCTTGTTTCTCTGCAATGTTTGACATTAACAGAAACTACAAATATATTCATAAGTCCAGCATTTTTCAAATATCCACAGTTTGCACTGCAGAGAAACAGTCTAAGAATTCTAACAGGTAGTTTTATGTTCCTGAAAACTTCATCACAATTTATTAAAATACTAGAGGTTAGTTTATAGTTCAGCAACCAGGTAGTCCCTGGCCTTTTAGCTGGCAAATTCATTCTCTTTTTTAAATAATGTTGCAAAATATTCTGTAAGACACAAAACAAACAAGCACCAACAACAACAGAACCCAGATGATTAAATTAATGAGAGCCCTGTTGGGTAGCTTGGTCAATGAAGACAACATGCATTTTCCCATAGGAAACCAGTAGGCGGTGCCAACTCTAGTAGATTACCTGGGGCAGTTATAAAACCCCAAACTCCAGTACAGGCAACCAGTTTAAGGAGTTGCAGAATTCTGGCCTAGTTAATGAGGCTGGGATTAGAATGATTTGTAAGTCAGACAGAAATTTAAAACAAATACTTGATATAATTAAAGAATCAACACTAAATGAAAGCAAAAGACAACAAAAGCCATGGTCTGCACGTAGAGGGTAGAGGATTCCACCAGAAACTCCCTTCTCATTGATGACACACTGTTGGTCTCTGATTTGAGTCACATGGAAACAACACAGAACTCCAAATTAGTTGTCCAACTTCAGGGGAGAGCATGCTGAGGTTGGGATAAAACCTGCTAATGGACACCCAGGTTTTCTCACAACCTATTTCTTTCTTCCTTGCTCTATCTCTTTGTTTTGTTTTGATTTTCAAAGAAATAAAAAAATTTATCATGCATATGACCTACAAAAGAAATATCCATGTAAATTATTTCAAATCAACATTTCTACATATGTAAAACAACATGATTTAAAATATCCTTTTAAAAAGGAAATGTAGGGTATTGTAAATAACTTTAAAGTATTTGTTTGCTGCCTGAATCATACGAAAGGCTGTATTTGAGCAATGACCATGGTACTAAAGAAGAAATTCTATATTTAGGTTTAGAGTTATAATATGAGCTTCAAATTTTAGAACTATTTAATTCAAGCAATAAAGACTGTCGTTTACAGATAATAAAATGATCTTTTCCTCATTCAAATGTGCAATGAGACTTCTTAATAAAAGGCTGCCTGAGCACATAATAAATGGGCAAACAAGAAGATAGATAAGTAAATAGGCAACCACACACACACATGCAACTTGCAAGGATCTTAAGAGTTATACGAATGTGGTACAAGCATGCAGAACTTCCTGGATATTACACTGAATGTTTAAATTTCCGTTGGAATGCTTATTCTTCCACTGCAAAGCATAAAACACAACACTTTTCATGTCACAGGCTACACATACAGAGATTCAATGAAACATTCTCTTGAAAGCCCCATAAAATAAGTTATTCATCCTTTGGCTATAGGTCCTTCTGTTTTCTCGGGTTTATTTTTTATTTTTATTTTTTTAGATAACTTAGAAGAAAACTTAACGAGGTAAAAAAAAGTAATTTCACTTTTGATCTTATAACCCAAAGAGTGTGCATGAGCAATTGAACATTGAACTTCTCATTTAAGGTGGGAAAAAGAAGAAAATGAAATGTTCAAAATCAACCTATTAAAATACTACCAGTTCCTCTCCAGATTTTAAGATTCAGTCAGTCTTTCGTACGTTTATTTGGTGACAGATTCTACTGGTGTGACAAATAGAGAAAAGACTTTTTATTGCCAGGCAATTCTGTAGTAATGAAAAGTATTTCTGTGTTTACTGGATACATGCAACAGGACACACAAACACCTTCAAAAGCATTCCTCACTGACTTCTCCAGCACCAGCAGCAGGGGCCACCTTCAGTAACACTTTGCCCTACTCTGTCCTCTGACCTGGGGGGAGGGGAGTGTCTGCACAATCAGTATCCGGTGGGTAAGACGGGAGAATCACTGTCTGTTTAAAATTAAGAAAGGCTAATTTTGTGCCTTGTAAGCGTCGTCTCATTAAGCCCAAGTGAACACTGGTACAAGTGACCATTCCCTTTCCTTGGACAACATCAGCAAGGGCTTAAAACCAACACAACACCTCCGGGAAAGCATGAGGAAAAGAACACTGAAGAAGGTAAAGCCACCGGAGGCAGTGGAGGCGGCTGGTAAGGACCCACGGCACTGCTCAAGCAGGGCGCGGAGGCGAGAGTGAGGCGCTCAGGGACCGCTGCCATCCTCGAAACCTCCAGCTCCCGCCGCCTGGCCAGCAGCCAGCTCCCGGGAGGCCCGGGTCCCCGCCCCTTCACCTCTCGATCTCTGGCTCCTGGAGGGCCCTATCGCCCCACAACCAGTGCCCCGCGGGGTCCTCTGCTTCCGGCGCTGTGGGTGGCTCAGGCCAACTTGCCACTGCCCGGGGCGCTGTGGCCCCATAAGCACCACAATCAAGGCGCCTCAGGGGAGAGGGTTGTGCGCACCTTCAAAACAATCGCGGCCCGAAGAGCACTTTGGTTCTGGCTCCCGGCGCGGCTTTCCCCATCGCGGGCTAGGACACAGCCCGGAACCGGCGCGCACACGCGCACACACCCTCGCACACGCACACACGCGCGCACACAGACTTCTTGGCCAGCGTTGCCATCACACACCCGGGGAACGCCACGGAGGGGGCCAAGTACCTGCTCTCTGCGAGCTGTTGTGCTGTTCACTTCATCCTCCGTTGACAAGGAAACCAAACCGCACTTCATTTTTTTTTTCCAGAAAAACCTTCCACTGCCATCATTTGAAAATTGATTTACGGGGAGGGGAGAAGGAGGAAGAACGGATAATATAGATATAGATATCATGATATCTATCATAAAATTATCTCGTTTTTTTAAATAAAAAAGTCAAATGTGCAAAAGTCATAGTTAATGTAAAGGAGGAAAAAAGCATTTGCTTAAAAATAATCCCATTAACTAGCTGCAAGAAAAGTTTCATGTTATCAACTGATATCAAAAACAGGAGGGGAAAAAACGAAATATTTCTCACAGGCTTCCAAAAAGGTCATAAAAATGCAAAATTAATGTCTTTGCTCAGTGGTGCGCACCGAATTGCAAGACGACAAACTTGTGAACACTGCTGGAAAATCCCACCTACACAAAAATATAATCGGAAAAAAAGAGTATATAAAAAAAGAGTTAGAAACATGCTTTCTTATAATATTTACAAAGGGAAAAAATAGCACCATACTTCACAACGCTTTTTCCATAAAACCAGTTGCACATTTTGCTGGACTTGGGAGCCGCTCGCAGCGGGCACCGCTACAGCGGACTCCCAGACACAGCGCCTTGTCTAGAGAACCATCGCATGCTAGGAAAACTTGATTCAGGAAAAGGCTTAAGACCATGCTCGTCAGCTTTCCCAAATACAAACAATAATCAAAGAAGTGGGAAGAAAAAAAAAAGAAGAAAAAAACAAAAACAAAAACAAAAAAGGACAAAAAAAAAAAGAATAGGACAAGAATGCCACTGAGAAGGTACTCACCGAGCGGGAGTAAAATGTTGGAATAAAAATGAGATTTAGGAAAATACAGTATGGCGGTGGAAGAAGGAATGAAGCGCGTTTTATTCTCAGTCTCTGCCTCGGGCACTGACACGTGACTCGGAGCCAGGCGGACTTGCAGTCGGCGGGGGTACCGCGGCTGCTGGGCGACCTCGGAGCCTTCGAAGCCCTCTGAGCCGCTCCGGCGGCACGGCGGTTGGAGCCCGGCGAGGCGGCCTCCTCGGCGGGCGAGCCGGGACTAGCAGGTGCCGCTCACGCTGGGCTGAGCGCACGCACACGCACACGCAGACGGGCAGGGCGCGGGCTAGCGGGGACCGCGCGGGGCGGGCCGGAGGCGCGCAGCTGCCGCCTCCACCGCCGCTTCTGCTACTGCTACTGCTGGTACCGCCGTTGGTGCTGATGCTGCGGGTGCTCTGCCAAAAAAGGCAGCTTAGGGATGCTCAGCAGAGGCCTCACAGGGTACACAACTTGCTGTCCATTGCAAAGTTGCCGCTTACCACTTCCTTATTTTCCGGCTTTCATCTCCAGGTAGTTTCCTGCGGCGAGCTCCCGTCCTTTCCTCTCCCCAAGTTTCACTCTTCATGCTGGGTTTCAAACTCGATCGTTTTTGTTCTTTTGATCTCGAAGTTCCTATTTCTTTTAAACTGCTTTGCCTATGGCACTTCCTCCCCCCTAGGTCTCTTTCCTACCTTGTGGTTCTCAGGGAACCTGGATTCCTGCTACACGATGCAGGGGGCGTTGTCACTGCAAAGCCAACATCAATCCCTTTGGCTGTCTTGGGGTATACCCCATTTGAAAGAGAATACAAAATCTTTTATTTGGAAAAATCCCATCCCAGGTTTTCTTTTGCTTGTTGCATGGTGCTGGGCGGGGGAGTGGACGTGTATAATTTATTCTTTCGTGGGCCATGCATTGTTTGTTTTGTCTGCGTGTACATCAGCTTCCACCTGTCTGGAAGGCTCTTCGGGTCCCAGGGGCTCCAGGCAGGGTCCTTCCTGACTCCAGCAAGTTGTTTTCTCAGGCTGCAAGTCCACAGAGAGGAGCAAGGGAAACAAGTGAGTCCATTGTGTGAGTGTTTGCCCTGCAGCAGGCACCTGGTGGATGGTCGAGAGGGGGAGATGTGCTCCACTCACCAGAAGGCAGCCCAGGCTCAGGCATGAGCCAGGCGACTGAGCAGTGCTTTGGAAGGTGGAGGCAAAACAGGGAGTTCACCCAGCATCTGCTGTGGGATGCCTGTCGCTGGAACAAAGATTCCAGCAGCCAATCACTGACTGCTTTGGGATTCTTCTACTGCTGCCTGTTGCAGAATCAGCTTTCTGGGCTCGGCAACGCATTAATTTTTCTTCATCTTTCATTCAATATTCATATCAAAACCATTTCTCTGGGTTGCTTTGAATCTGGATTTCACAAAATTTAATTGCCACGTCTGTGTTTTAAAATGAAAATACATACGGGTTATTGGCTCTCACATTCATGCTCTGATCTGTATCTCACTCTTTCCAAGGTTGATGTTTAAGATAAAATGTCTGCATAGGAAGGAATCTAACCTGGACAATTTTGACATTTAAGTATGCTTTCATTATAGAGAGTCAAGCAGCAAATGCTTCTCCAATGTCGTGTAGGTGGGATTAAAGTATTAATCCACAATTTAAACAAGAATATTTAAGATAGGCATAAAAATCATTAAATATTTATCTTGGTAAATTGCCACCTGGACCCACTTATTACACACTTTCCAGAGAGGATTTGAAATGCTGACAGGGACAGATGGGTACATCAGAGTGGACTCCAGATTGTCGGGAAACCTACGTTCTGTGCAGAAGCACCTGGATTTACTGCTGGAGAAAACATTGTGGCTTGTGCTGAGACCATGTTGGTCTTCTTTCTTTTGTTTATTTTGTTTTGTTTAGTAGATCCCTTCAAACATGACTCTTTTCTTCCATGCCTCATGAATTATGCTATCGCAACTTGAGTTTGAGTTTGTTAAATTCTCTACCGCTTCAAAATGCCCAGATCCAAATACATGAAAGAGAAGTCAATTTGAATGCATATATTTTCCCTTCACTTACAGAGATATTGGAATGTGAGCAACTTCACTTTAAAAATGAGTTTTGGAGCTTCAGATCATGCCAGGGAATGTCTGGGTTTGGAGAGAGTTATTCAAGAAGAACTTTGAAAAACAAGCTGTTTAGAATTGCACTGCAGTAATGGCTGCCAGCCAATCACAGTGATTGTCAGGCTTTTATTATTCAATAAAATGACTCCCCTTTATGTTTAATGCAGCTCTGCTGAGGACAAGCTAGCCATCAATATCCTCCTTGCACTTCTTCCATTTACTTACATAATTGCAGACCAGTGCATAAAACATTCCACTATTACTTACTTCCAAGATGCCATTCTTCCATTTAAGATGGCACCACCATATTAAAAACAAGAGTAAACAAAGTCAGGTTGAAGGAACAGCATTTACAAAGCAGAGGCTGCTGTCCAATTCTTCTACAGCTTTGTGGCATAGGCATTATTAACCTCATTATAAAGATTTAAGAAAACAAAGTCAGAGTTTAAACTCACCTGTGCACTATTCCTCTGTTATGGCACAGAAGAAATGCAGTCGGACCATACTTAAATCTGGTTTTACAGTTAGAATAGGGTATTTCAAAAACCATATGAAGGATATGAACTCTTAAGTGCTGTTGTTGATATCAACAAAAGCACAATTTTCTCAAATTTGTTAAATCCAAAGGATATTTGTGGAATTACCTGAGCAGTATTGTTCACCCCAATAACAGTTATGGCACATATAATTATACTGATATTTTGATTCCAATAAACAGGAAAAGAAGAAAGTAAAGATTTAAAATATGATAAAATAATCTAGGATTCAAACAGAATAAAGTACAAGTAAAATAGGTTTTCAAATGAAGAAAATAATCTTTAAGTTTTCTAAGCAAAAGCAAACGAATGAAAAAAATATGTAAAAGATGTGGCTGTGTCATCATGTTCTGCGCATGTCTTTAACAGTTAACCGTAGAAGCTTTCTGGAGGTTTGAATAGACAAATGACTTTACTGATTCTCCTTTGAAGTCAGCCAAGCAACACATGCAAATATGAAGTATATTAAATATAAGATGAGACCACTAAATGATGATGCTAGGGGAAAAGTCTATTTTGAAACCTATGCTTTGCAGTTTCAACCTCTTTTTCAGAAAGTGTTCATGACACATGACATATTTATGGGCACAAACATAGGACTATATACTGAGTTGGAAATTATGCACTGTATAATTATATGGCTTTAAAAATAGATATGCTTATACCCAGGGGCATTAAGTCATTTTTTAAAAAATCTTGATTGACAATTTTGACAATTTATTTCTTTTTATTTTTCCTTCATTATTTATTCTATTCCTACTAATTGACATTTGTTTCAACTTTGGTGGTGCTATGTATATCTCCCAATATTCCTATCTTGAAAACCTACAGTACCAATAGCAAAAAACATCATGAAATGTTCACCAATTGCTCAAGATGACCAGGTGATATGAACATATACATAACACATAATACAGTATGAGCATTCTGTGTGCAGGAAGCCTCAGTAAAGAAATACAAAGGAAGTATCAGGATTTACGTGTAATTTAGTGGTAAAAATCTTACTCTTCACATAGAATACTTTACAGAATTCAAAAACATTCAGATATATAGGAAAATGCACCAAGTTATTAAGGTTTGTGTATTTACATATTAAATGAATAAGTATGTGTATGGCTAAGAAAGTACATAGAGAAAAAAATAGCATGAATACTAATATTGTTTCTTGAATGTGTTTACTTTATTGAAATGCTTTGAGTGCAGTTATTTGATAAAGTGACCTACATAAAAAATGCTCTGATGGCTTCTTACTATATATGCTTGAAGGAGAGCAGGAAGCACCCAGTACTCTGGTTACCCAGATTACTGACCTAACAGTCATTCACTCTGATGTGGATATAAGACGTGTCACTTTATACATTTTGAAACTGGGAATTTTTTTCCAAGATAATTCTTTAGATTTTTCCAGTGAAAATGTGGTGCTGTCTTCAGGCTAAACATAGATAAAAAAGTTCTAAATGTTAAGAATATTAAGCTAATTTAAAAATGCTTTAGTACAAATTAAGATAAGCAAATGAGAGGCCTTCAGGGATCAAAGAGATGGAGAATCTATTTCAGGCAAAACAAAATGTGATTGAGAAAGCTCATTAAGAAAATTACCCATAACTCAGTATTTCAATTTTTCTGATGCTTGATATATGGGATATCAAGAAATCCTATGGGCCAGGTGTGGTGGCACATGCTGTTAATCCTATCACTTGAAGGCAGAGGCAGGTCAATCTCTGTGAGTTTGAGGCCTGCCTGATCTACATAAAGAGTTCTGGGACAACTTGGATACATAGGGAGACTTTTTGCAAAATGAAAGAAAGAGATAAAGATAGATAGAGAGAGGGGGGAAAAGGAGGGGGCGGGGAGAGGTAGAGGGAGAGAGATCTTTATAACCAGAAACTGAAGTTTCGCAACACTTCTCCTAAGAAGAAATTCAGCAGGTTACAGAAAGGACCTTTCTTATTTGTTGAGAAGGCTACAGATCTTATAATGTAAGTGCCAACTTCTGTGGCAATGTTGCCTTATCAGTAAAATTCCAAGAAAGTAAAGGCAGTTCTTTAATACTTGGGATATTGTCAAATATATCCAATTATTCCCAGCCTCAGTGATCAGAATATCTGTTTAGTAAAGAAATTTATTTAAGCATGTGTTTCCTTTCAAAAAGGTAAATCTGTAGCACATATTCAGGAAAGCAAACCACTGATGGCTTGGGCAGTTCATAGCTGAACTGCAAACACTATGGTAGTTAAGTTTTATCTCCACTCATTTCACTCTACAGATGGAAAAAGTGAAATAAAGTAACCCAGGAACCAGGAAGCAATGGAGCATACACTCAAGTCTGCAGGGCAATACAATCTGGTGGCCTACAGAATGCTCTTGACCCCACTCTTTGTATCTGCATTGTGACAAATGCACATTAATCTCTCTGTACTTCGTCCCTCATCCAGTAAACAGAGAAATGATACAACTGCTGAGCGCTATGAAATTAGTGTGTGTAGGGCGCTTTCAACAGTTCCATATAGAGACTAATCTTTGGTTCTTCTTCCATTCTGTCTCACCTTGCTTAGATCATAGGAAACCAAATTTCCCAAAGCAGGAGTAGTTCAGATATGAAAAACCAGCTTTCATTCTTCTGAAAATGCTTGAGCAAGCAGGTCATTTGATAACCAACCTGTGTCTTTGAACTGAAGAATCACAGTAAATGTTGGGACATATGCCAGTAAAGATGAAAGAAAAGGAAGGGGGACAGAGATGAAGTAAGGACAGGGCAGAAGGGAAAAAAGAGGGTAATGTAAGACCAAGAGCCTGGAAAATCCTCGCCAGAACAGTGCAAACACTGAACAGATTTGGGTCACATGGATGAGCCCTAAACAGACATATGACTAAAA